ATGTTTCTGACTTAACTACAGAAATTGAGAAAGATGAGAAAGTCAATATTCAGACTTTCTGATATAGGGTGCTCTAGAAGTCATTGTAATAGTGCAACAGTTGTATTAATAATTATATATAATGTTCTATACGTGCACTTGGATTAAAAATCCAAAAGTAATAAATTGGGATAATTCTAAGAATAAAATTCATGTTATTTTATGCATACTCATAAAGTATAATACTCTAGACCAAAAAAAGGACATGACAATTACATAAACAGTTGTACTGATAATGTTTTACCCACTAAACTTTTTTTAAAAAACATTATAGCTGGTTAGACCAACATTGCACAGAACACTTGAATTACTTCAGTCAACCTACCAATTATAATAGGGGAGAAAAAAAATAAAAAAATATTTAAGAGACTGTGGGTCTACTAGAATCTGATCTTCTGCTGAAATTTTCACAGATTGTCTACAGGGACATTTTATTACAAGAGTAGTTTTGGCTTCTGGGGATTACACTGCACAATGAAAACAAATGTCAAAGTAAATCCCCAAAGAAAAAAAACACTTCTGGTATTGATCCTCAGCCCTACCAATCAACCTTCTTGCCCTCTGTAGACTCTCAAATACTTTTCTTCATCTGAAACCTCTTAGAAACAGTTTCTTCAACGTAATCTTAAACTACTGGCTGAAGTTCAACACACGTTTCAGCAACACATATGGAATTTATCCACAACTTACGGAACTTCCATAGACCAAGGAAGGAAAATTCTTAAATGTCCATCCATGTTTACAATTTCAATTTATATTTATGTTAGAAATATGAAGATAAGTACACTAGCTTTGTCTTATAGTCTTACATGTGTTCGAATCGATTAGTCTGATTTTTCTAAGTATGCATTTCTAATCTTGTAATCAAATTTAATATATTGCACTGTGTCATCATGGACTTAGTTATTTTTTCTGTTACCCACTGCCTGAGTCACTGCTCAAAGATTTTATAGACTGGTTATCAGTGTGTCATAGAAAAGACAGTTTTGTTAAGTCTTACTTTTTAAAAATGTCTGTTAAAATTTTATGTTCAGCTGCATGAAAATGATTGCATCAAAAAAACGCAATTCCTGCCTTTTTCCTAGATATTCACAAGAGAAAAAAAGTTCCTTGAACTGTATGAAATTTAGAAGAAGCTATATATTTTGCTGAAGACTGGACATTTTTGAGCTTATAGTTAATAGCTACACTCTACTTTAGCAAAACCCAGCTATAATTAGAGAAGCCAAAGGAAGTATCCATGAACATATCACTAATGCAGGCAATTGTGCAATTTACTGTGTTGGAGTCTCTCCATTTGCTAGTACGTAAATCTTGCTAAGGGTAAAACCATTTGATATGTACACGAACACTAATTTTTTTACAAAGTGACCAAACTTCAGCTTAACCACTCAAAGATGAAACTTCACTGTCTCCAAGGAAACTATAGTTTGAAAACAGAAGCATACAAGAACATAGTTTAGTTTTCAAGCAATAAATTGAAGGGATTTCTGTAATGAGTTACAGAGAAGTAACATAAAATATTGATTTTTACATTTCTTTGTATGTTAGTTCATTAACATAATAGACCATATTATGGAGAACTTAGCTAAGAATTCAAAAAATTGCTGATTTACACCTGGAATCAATGCACTTGTCAAAAAGCATTTCCAATAGCTTGAACAAATATATCCAGTAAAAAATTTATGATTTAGCATGAAACTTTGGAAATAAGACATTAAAATATTTCTGCATGACCTACAATATTAAACATGACATCTACAACACAAGTCTGTCACAGTCTTCAATCTTAAATGTCAGGTGTATCATTAAGTTTCAGCTTTAATTGTAGAATTGTTTTGGTAAAATAAGTTTTTAACTCACTCCAACCATAATAAAACTAAGCTCCTAATCTGTATTTTCCACAAATAAGTCCATGGAAGCTTTGAAGGGAAAACTTAATTCTACCTGTAGCTTATGCCGTCTTTTGAATTTAAAACTGAACTGGTTCCAAAATCTTATGATTCTTTATCAACTTACACAAATACTGAAAGACTTGTTGCTGCTGACTCTAATATAGATTTGCGAAAATACCAGCTTTGGTTTCAAAATCTGTGTATCTGGTAACAGAAATGTTAGAAAAAGGTAAGATCTTCCCAAGCATTGCAGGCCATATCTTACCCTTTTTCTCTTGCCTCTGCAAATATTTCCAAAAGTCTATCTCCATCATCTCTTGTCTGTGTGTTCTAATTGCTCATAATATTGAGAAAGAAAAATAAAAAGCCGTTTTCCTCACCCACTGTCCACAACTGAATGAGAGACAGAGAGCAATTCTAGTCAGAAGTAGACCCCAAGGTGCATTTCATGAATGCACATTGTAGAAATCAGAGAGGAATGGTGTAAAAATCAAAATCCCACTCTTACCTCCATCTTCCCTCACAAAAAGACCAGCCTTCTGAAGACAGAACCATGCTGAATCTCCTAAACACTCAGAATTATTAAAGCCTTCCAGAGAAGTACAGTTCTACCTTCAGATGCATGCTAAAACTGGAATTGACTTCTAATATAGTAACTTATGATTTTAACCTGTTAAAAGGTTGAGTTTTCTCACTGCATATGTATTTCAGCACTAAGAAATAGAAAGCTGTGTGTTTATGCAATGAATTCTCTCCTGCCTTATGTCAGCTGCGTACATGAATGCCTGTCTGCATAACAGTCATGACTGTTTCCTCTGTCTCTGAACTAGTTACACTGCTCTGTTCATTTTTAGTTGCAAGATGCGATCTCATTCCCTATCTTCCTCTTTTTCTTAATATTATAGTTTGAAAGCTTTTGAGACAATGAAGTAGGAAATAACACTGCATTAAGAGAATGTCATAATAAATTAATGTATTTCTAGAACTATTTTGGAGATTAAAATTATATGCTGAAGCAGAGAGCGAAAAATAAAGAAACGAATCCAAGTTTAAGAATTCACGCTGAGTAGCTGTGGAATCTCTTGGGAGCTATTTCTAGTAAGCTATCACAGATATTCACATGGCAAGAATCAGGCAGCAGTAATATTAACTATTCAGTTTTTCTTTCGATAGTGCTTTCTCCTGATCATGTTTTATACTTAAGACTGTATTTTCAGATAGTACAAAACTACTGAAGAATTGAAATTCCTGCCTTGCCTTAGTACGTCAAGTGACAAACGAAGGCCGACATGCTTGGATGCATGCTTGGATGTTTCACAATAATTCAGGCTTAAAGCACTGATAAACTGCCTGTATGTGATATTTGAAATTAATGAGAACTACACACATTTTCACCCAAAGCCACCTTTTTTCACTGAAATGCCTCTTTTCCATGTGAATTTCCTCCCAAAGAAAATCCAAGCTACCTAAAAGAGAATTTTGACAAATAATCCAGCATTTAAAACATTTTTCAGCAGATACAGAAATAAGGCAGAAACACACAGAAGCTGTGTAGATCAGAGAAAAATAGGGTGCTAAACTTTATCCTTGCTCTCAGACACATTCCTGCACCTCTCTGGTGACGTGTTTGCATAAATTTTCCACAGAGAAGTGTTCCTTGACTTAGAACACATATGATTCCATAAAGTCTGATTCACTGATTAAACTGATATTTTACATTTCTGGAAAGCATAATCAGGCAAAAGCATACATTTAATTTCCTTTAAGACTATGTTATGGACATACTGTAATATTATTACATGCACATCCTTATTGTGTAGAGAAAATAAAGGACCTTGCTTTTGTTATTACAGCAGGTTTGAAAAACAGAATCTAAACCAAAACAACTCAAGTTCTCAATGTTAGGCAAGTGTTTTCTTTCCCAGTTCTACTGAGGTAACAGCGTTACTGGAACAAATGTTCCATACAAGAATTAAGGAAAAGGTATCTCAGGAAATAAACATGTCACATCTATAGCATTTCAAGATCCTGCAAAGGGATTTGAGCAATTATGTATAACTTTATGACACGATGATACCTGTACATTTCTTAGCTCAGCATTTTTCAAAGAGTCTTATCTTTTTAAGACAGAAAAGAGGACAAAAAAAAAAGAAGGCATGGTAGATACACCATTCTCAAAAAAAATCATGATAAAGTGTTCAAGGGCCCGCTCACCTGCTGTGATGTTTTACGTAGTATATGACCATTGCATCTGGCAAGATTTGCACATGTCTGCCCTTGATTTGTGGAGGGAAAAAGCAGAAAAGCCTCACAACTATTCTTCATTCTCAAGAATTAATCTGAAGCCTGGCTCCCTGATGTTTCCAATTTTACAGTGATCCAAATAACTCGCCCAAAACCACACCTGAAGCATCACTCACAATTATAGCTGAGGGAGACCAAAGTGAATTCTCTCCCCAGGCATCCCAGGGCACTCTCCATCACAGCAGTGGCCCCGGAGCGCTGTGAGATGGGGCCATCACAGACTTAAACTTGACCTGCAAGCACTGATGCTAGAATACGAACCAGCTCCAAGAGGCTTTTTTCTGAAAAAGTAGTGAAAAGTGTCACAGATACACATGATGCTGCAAGCCTCAGGAACTATCATATACTATTGGACTTCCAAAGGAACTACAGACTTCTGAACTTCTTCAAACCTACCAGAAAGCAAGTGGACAGCTGTTTGGGTAGAGCTTCAGCCCCTACTTGAGCCGTAGAAAGTGGTCAACACTTCAACAGATTGCTTCAGTTTGTCCTGAATGGTCCATGAGCAATTATACTAGCTTTCTTATGGCATCTTTTTGAGTACTTCTGCAAAAGGGATTGAGACTTGGCTGGAGAAAATGTAATTTGACTGGTCTAATTGCTCTCCAGCTCTCAGCTGAGCTTATCACAGCTAGCCAACAAATACAATCATTACATCAGCTCTTGGTGGGAAGAAATTCATTATGCATCCTGAAAGACACAGTGAAAGAGAAGCGTACTTTCTCTGACAGTTTTAAAACACAACTGAAAAAACAAACTCACTTGTAAATGTTGAGAGTTGTCAGTCATATTGTCCTCTCGCCTACGAACTTCTTCCAACAACTGTGCATTCTTTTTTTTCTCCAATTGCTGATTGTGCTTCAGATTGGCAACCTTCTTGTTTTGGTCCTTCATATGTCTAAGAATTGTATACACATACGCATTAGTGTTAATGACTGCAATCACTCTTTTTCTCTATAAATTAACGTGATCATGACACAGGACATCGATTCTCCAACTGATACAAGTATTCCAAGTATCACATGTAAACAACAAAACTTCATCTTGTTTTCAAGATGACATACCAAACCAGCTTTAATACCATCAGATTATACAATGGTAAAGCAATTATTCAAATCCACAAGATTTTTTTCTTTTTTATCATCTGCTCACAAATACTTGTACACGTTCTAAGCACTACACAGAAAAACTGTTGCAACAGAGAGAGATTATTCAAAAATCCTTACACACTCAGTGAGTTCAGGAACAATTTTAGTGGCTGCTTTAAGTAGCATTAATTTCAAAGGAAGAAGGTGAAGGTGATGACTAACGTATGTTGTGAAATTCTATTTTTGAAAACCTGCACTATATATACAATGTTTCTGAGGATTAAAGTGTGATGGGATAAGAAGGTCAAGTCATAAATATGCCATGAAGAATAAAGGATGCCTTTACAAATAGCTTTATACGTAACAGAAACTTTTTTTTTTATAATGAGACTTCTTTCTACTAAATATTATCAGCAAATAGGTCTATGAGTAACTTCCAATGAAAATGATACAGTCTTTATCGCCACTATATATTTTCTTTTGTTAAGATTATACTAAATTAAAAAAAAATCCTACTGTTTAATGTTTCAATGTTTAATCATCTTTTGCTGTGAATCTTTCCTGGCTCTGTGCATCCTTTTAAGAAAGAAGGCAAGTCAATTTTGCCTAGCAGGCCATGAAAAAATATCCTTTCAGTAGTGCTTTCTACCTGCTTTGATTCTTAGATATTATTTTCCCGACTTTCTTTGACTTTGAGGAATTCACTCCCTTTTATCTATATAAAAATAAAGTCATGTGCAAATTCCTAACGAGATTTACTCGCTAATCCTATTTTGGTAAATGAATATTATTCAATGCCCAAAAGGATCACTGAAAATGCCTCTGTTCTACATTAGAACTTCAAGTTGAAAAAATGAAGTTATAGACTACGTTAAAGAAACTAGATCATGTTGTACTTACTTCTATTACTGATTTCTTTCACCTACCATTGTTTTTTTTCATTAAATTGAAAAATTAACAATGAATCTCTAATCAATAAATGTTGCCACAGTATCAAAAATTCTTAGAAGACACTTCATATACCAGTTTGTATGTAAGTACAGTACATTACAGAAAAGCTAATCTATTATTACTAAAACAAAGTAACTTGCCTAAAAAAAATAAAACCGTGTCCAACACCTTTTTTCCAGCTCAGAGCACTGCAACTCCATCTTGGCAGCTTCCCAGCATCATGTTTAAATACCCAAAATAAGTTCACTTGAGAACAAAAAAGACACTACATGATGGTCAGAAGAAACTTGCCTCCATGAGACCTACCTCAATAGCATAAATCACCCATATTTTACCACAGTATTTTAAGAAAGGTTAATTTCCTGAAAAACACAACACTCTGCCACAGCTAACCAGTAATAAGCAAACAACATGACAGTGCTAAAAACAGCAGGGATGTTTCTGTTGAAGTTACACTGACAGATTAATAAAAAAGCAACCAGAAACGTCATGTACCAATTTAAACCTGCTTCTATGTCTTAAAGAATTATAATAGGTTTAGTTATTGAGTTGTATAACTTTTAACTAAATTTCCTCAAGAACTTTAGAGTGAGTCTTTTGTCTTTCTGTATCAAGTATTCAAATATACATTAGGTGTTCTGGCCAAATCTGAGTGAAAATCACTTCTCTTTCATGGATCCACATCACATAATTGTAAACATAAAGCCTAAGTACCATAAAAATCAAAAGGAACATTAGAAAAAATTAATTTCATATGTAAGTGTGGTATCTTGCAAAAACTTTTGTAATATGACTTTGTGCTGTTTAAAATATAAAATTGTGTCCAATCTAAAGATGAGTAAATGATAAAGTAATTTGTATTTAATCTCTGCAAGAAGTTCAATTTTATGCCAATGCTAACTGCTTCTTTCATCACCCTTTACTCTCCCGATTTCCCATTTCAATTTCTGTCTAATGCCAGTTCAGTTTTCTGTCTAATTCTGTCTAATGTTTTTCACTAAAAAACAGAACACAGTAAAGCTGCAAAGGAAAACATCTGGCACTTGTGATATGCAAAATCCTGAAGGGAAGGAAATAAAAGAAAGCTGTGTCATAGCCTCTCTTTCTTCCACAACATAACTATGGAAATGAACAGAAAATACTACAGTTAAAAAGCCTGGCTGAAAAATTTTCTTCTAGGCCTGCATTAAAACTACAGGAGAAGCTCAACAGGAAATAAATACAAGAACACATTCCCCATGTTTTTATTTTTTTTAAAGAGCAAATATATCAAATATATCCTTGACTCAGTATATTTTTTGAGTATGATTGCTATGGTTTTTTTTTTTACATGGCTCTGTTTCCAAAATGCTTTTGAATAGAAGATTAGGATAAATAAAAATTAAGCACAAGAAATAGAAAAATATTTGGGAAAAATACACAATCAGCACCACATGCCATTACCATATAGGATATAAAATCTCTACATATTTTACTAGTAGCTATGCTGATACACATAGTTGAGTCTACACTATTCTTTATCATTGGCAATTAGTTTCATGTGTTATACTACCCTTTCAATTTAAAGCTAAAAGACCAGAAAATTCATTAGACAGAATAAAATAACTAAAACATTACTGTTTAATACAGATGTTTCCAAAACCTGAAATGTATGTTGCAGGAGTCCAGGGAGTAGAACTGATCTTGCTATCATATGTGAATCGTATTCCGATACTAAAATACATGCAGAAGTATTCTTTTTTTGACAGTCGAAATGCCCCAAAGCAGCAGGATGAAATCACAGCTTTCTGATTTTCTACGTTGTTATAGTTCATTTTGAAGTTGGGTATCTATTTTCTTATAGTGAACTAAATTCTTTAATCACTGAACTAGGCATTACAGTCATCTCAAACTAGTTATTACAGAATATACTATTCTGTGTTTGCAATTTTCAGAAAAACAGCCTTAGATGGCAAACACAGGGATCATTCGAGTGCCAACGATCTGATTTCTGATACTGGTGAAGAACCATCAAACTCTGAGTGCTACATATTTAGGTACACTTAGAATATCATAGATTTAAACAAGACAGGTGGAAGGAAACAACAGAAAATTCTTATACAGCTCTATAGCTTTGTCTCTTCTGAAGTCCAGACCAAAGAACCTAGAGCCCTTAGTCTGCTGTGCAAACAGCAGGATGTCCTTCAATCAATTACACTAGCTCTCCATTCTGTTTAACTTTTTTAACTGAAATGTCTTTGACATCAGTGTCAAATCAGCAGAAAAACAAATATCAGAAAAGTAGTAGCACTTGATATACTTGTTAGGATAAACAGCACTAACTTACGACTACATTTAACCATGTTAATTTGTGGGGGTTTGTTCTCTTCCAGAATAGCATACTGTAGTTCTAAGTATAGTACATTTATTTCCTTCAGACTAGCTTTTAAAGAAAAATATGAACATTCGGTTTCTGCATATAGAAGTAGCTTTCAGATTTCATTTTACCATAGTGTGTAACTGTTGTCTAAACTCCAACGCTTTCATCTCCTATAGCTGTAGAAAAATCACACTATTTCATTAAATTCCCAGCTTTAATTAGCCACCTGGGTGCCTTGGCCAAAAAGTTGGTAATGTCAGCCAAAAATAAGTGTTACATGCTTAGTATAACCTTTGCTCTATTTCATAAGGACTTTTTTTTTTTTTCCTCAAAGCATCCAAAAAATGCAGACATGCAAAAGACTCCCAAGAGCAAAATCTGTAACATTTTCTAAAGGAATATGTCTCTATTATAACTTTCACCACATTAAATAGCATTACAATTGGACCAGCTGTCTGAAAGTCAATCAAAAAATTCTCCAGCATGCTATGAACCTGTACTCCTCAACCAATAATAAAAAAAAATATAGCTCAATAAACATACCAAAGAATGCTTTCAAGAAAAAAAAATAGTCTTTTTATGAAATAAATTTAGCTAAAACACCTAATTTCTATAAAATAGAAAAGTTTCAAAAGTATATTTTTATATTTATTCCCCTTATTTTAAATAATAAAACATCTTCACCTCTTCTTCTAGACACATACTGGGTAGAATATTATTGACATCACTACTTGGAATTTTTTTTTCTTTTTAATAGATCACCTCTTTCTCCTTTATAAACAGTTCATACCTTTACAAACAATTCATGTATGCAAGCAATAAAACAAATCTTAGTATTTACTAGGCACTCTGGATCTCAGCAGCTAGTCATGCAGAAAACCTGATCCTGTAAATCCTGTCCATGTGAATGTCCATTCTGAACTACATCACTTCAGTATAACTCAGTAGAAATATTTCCAACCGTTCAGCTCTCAGTGTCTTAAAACTGACAGTACACATAGGTTCCCATTTGATTTATTGAATCAAGACTAAAACAACAGCATAGGAGTAATTCTTTAAAATTCACAGCCAATTCCATTGAAATCCATAATATATAATTTCCCTTAAGATATGAGCAAAGTTAAATACTGTTTGTGGCATTTTCCTGGAATACAAATGTATTTCCTACTATCAATCTATAAACCTGAAAAACAAAGATGAGTTAGACCCTAGCAAACTATAAACACCACAAGAGACTTTAAGAGGGTCACTGACAGACACATTCCTGACACAAATATGCAAGGACACTGTTTATTCACTTACAACCCATAGATGGATTTGTCTGGGGGACATAGGTATTATCATTATAAGAAAACCTCTATCCATCGCAGGTTGAAATTTTAATATTATTAAGAAAACACAACATACCTCAAATAACCATCATTTTTCTAAAAGAAAGCCCTAATGTTTGACTGTTATATTTATTAAGTTACACTCTAGTCCCCTTAAGATTTATGATAT